CATTTATGTACCTTAAACCCTCCTCAGCTGGGACTATGGATGGAGGGAAAATCTCTTCCGTGATTTATACCATTGTGTTACCCATGATGAACCCCTTAATCTATAGCCTGAGGAACAAAGACGTTAAAGTTGCTCTGATAAAAACCTTAATCAGAAGAAAGTTCTGAAAAGAAGTTGAATCTCTCTGTTCTTGTGGTACAGTTCAGAGAAAATGTTGGTGCTCTTCAGTATGTTTCTAAGGTCAGCTTTATCTCATTTCTTTCTTAATAAGGGAGGGAAATGTGAACTTGGTTTGTTTTCAGTTTCTTCTGTTTTGTTATATTTGCACAATTTCTCCTTTTACTATTTCTCCTTCTCTGAAAAATATTGAGAATGTAATTTATGCCATTTTCATTTTAATTATGGTCTTAATCCTAAAATAATAAAAAATTATGAATGTTTGAATAAAGTAATATTATCTTGACTGTGGATTGTGCAGGACAGTTTGATTTGGCTCTTTTACTGTGACTTGTTAGATCACTGTCTCTGCTTTTGTCATCCCATCTCCACTGGGTAGGAATCTGTCTCTTCCAAATGCTAGTGCTTCACAATGCAGGTGTCTCTGCACAGACTCTTAACAACCCCCCTGGCTGCTGCAAACTATGCCCTGAGTTTCCTTCTGTGACGCATTACATTTACCTTGTAAAGAGACATGACATTGTAGATTAATGGTAAATATTGTATGAAAGCTGTTAGGTGTCTTGATTCTAAATCCACCCCTCTGTCTAGGATATCATTCATCTATTTTATTAGGTGTATTTCACTAAGCATGAATAATGAGGTAACATTTCTATTTTGAAGTTTGTGCTTTGTCTTTAGATGACACGCATTCATCTAAAGGATTTGGTTACGTAATCATTTTGTTTCGCAGAAACATTGATGGTCCCATTGATCAAGTGGAAGGCTACTGGAATTAGGAAATTGGGAGATGATGGGCTCAGGCTTGAAAGTGTTTTTTTTTGTTGTTGTTTTTTTGTTTTTTTGGGTCCGGTCATGGGGCCTGAACTCTGGGCCTTGGTGCTGTCCCTCAGCTCTTCAGCTCAAGGCTAGTGTTCTACCACTTGAGCCACAGCACCACTTCTGGCTTTTTTCTTTTTGCTTACGTGGTGCTGAGGAATCGAACCCAGGGCCTCAGGCATACAAGGCAAGCGCTCTACCACTGAGCCACCTTCCCAGCCCGAAAATGTATTTTTTTAATTCATTTTTCAGCCCTATTATTACAGATAGAGCAAAACATTATTATTAAAAGCCAAGCATCAGCTAAATGATCAAAAAAATTTTTTAAAAATTGTTATTGTAAAAGTGATGCAAAGAGGAGTTATGTTCACATTTTTGTTATTTGGGGTTTGTGTTGTTTTCTTCCTTTGTGGCTGTTTTTGTATTCTGTACCTTTTTTTTTTTTTGGTCCTGTTGTGGGCCTGAACACTGTCCCTCAGCTTTTCACCTCCACTTGAGCCACAGCGCCACTTCTGGCTTTTTTTTCTGCTTATGTGGTGCTGAGGAATCGAACCCAGGGCCTCATGCATGCAAGGCAAGCGCTCTACCACTGAGCCACCTTCCCAGCCCTGTTTTCTGTACCTTTTGTCTTGTATGCAAGTTTGTTCTGGGGAAGTTAACGGGAACATGGAAATGGTGGGACAAAGGGTGAGCAAACGCAGCAGTGATACTCACTAGACACTGTGAACTATACAACTTGTGAGGGTGGGGTCGAGGGGGAAAAACCGGGAGAAAGTGAAGGGAGAGATGACACTGGGTGATCTTGTTAAAAATAATTTAAAATGTTTTCAAGATCTTTGAGTTGGAATACTGGGAAGTTCAAAAGGGATGGTGCTTACAGATCAGGGCCTTACTTCCTTTCCCTCTCATGGCTTGGCCTGCTCCTTTCCTAGGCAACACTAGGGCCATTTAGCAAAGGCAGTAACTAATCAGCCTCCATGCTCCCCCCCTCCCCATCCCCGCCTTTACCTTGAGATGACATTCCTCTGGGGCAGCTACCACCATAGAAGGCAGCAAGAACCCCTTAGAGTGACCTTCAGGTCTGGGCAGCTGCAGGGCCCCTTATCTACTACTTGGGCAGCAGCCATCAATCCTAGTCCGCCATGAGGAAGCCCCTGGTCCACACATCCACACCAGGTCTCTGCCTCCTAGCCTGGAATTCTGGGCCAGAGGCCCAACACTCAACGTGTTAGATTTGCCCTCAATTTGTCTATTAATGAGGGAACTAGTAAAGAAGATCAGCAACAAGTTTTTGGTTGTTACTTGAATATTTTTTTGTTTCTGCCCTGGATCCACAGAAAGGTAGCACACCCTCTTCCCTCCTTCTTTGGTCCGGAGATGAACTGCTATCTCCCTACACAGACATGTTCCTTTTCTTGTTTCTGGCTTGGATCTAAAATGTCTGTTTTGAGGAGAAGTAAAAACAGGCCTCCCTGCCTGTCTCTAGGCAGAGGGCATGTGTTTTCTTCTCCCTGAAAGCAGTTTTCTTCCACTTGGATTCAAACCTGATGATATCTTCAGGTCAGCTTGGATATTCCTTGGAGACGCATCAGAAACGCTGCCTCTGCCATTCCTCCAGCTCCCTGCTCAGCGCGGTGCTGCCTGGGCCTACCCAGTACCCAGGCGGGTCTCTGCCTGCCTTGTCTTTCACTTAGTTGAGTGCCCCCGTGCCCTCTGTGCTGGCTGGTTCTGCTCCAATGCTCCACGTGATTGGGCTCGTTTTCCCCATGTTAGCCTTTTCAGGATGCTTCCTTAAGATGGACACAGGCAACCAGACGTGAGAAATATAGGGAGGTAGAAGAGTGTCCCACTGGTTTTCTGGTTACCAGAAGGATGCTTTGAAAGTGAGTTCATAGACGTACCTGGCTCATGGACTGGGGGGGGAGGGGGGAGGCTACTTGACCTCAGGCTTGAGGATTCATATTCTCTGCGAGGGAATAAATTAACAGGATAATTATAGAGGAAAAAACTCTCTTCCTAGAGATGAGGGACTCTGCAGACACACTACTTCAGCAAAAGTCGTAGAATTCCAGTTGGAGTCACTTGTCCCAGACTTTCCATGAGAACACACCAGAGGTTGTGAGGTTGTGGAGGAATGGTTCCTAAGCACAATTACCCAACACTAAAACCCTCATCGGTGTATGTTCCCACAGCCAGGAACTTGTACTCTTGCCTTTGTGTTCTTGGTGATTTGTATAGTTACAGGAGAAACTCAGGTCACTCAGTTTTATATAATTAATGTCTTCATGTCTTCTAATCATCAAGCTATAAAACAAACCAGGGCTAACTCTACTAGCCTCTGAGTATGGCTCCTCTTCCTCAAATACAATCACCACTAAGGATGTGTTCACTGCTATCGAAGCACCTTGATCATCCATAACCTGAAATCCAAACTTCTCTAATCAATCAAGGACACAGCGTACTACCGAGATTTTTTTCAGTATATAATCTGAGGAGCTACTTCTCTGGAGGACGTCAGTTTATTAGGATGAAAGAATACTTCGCTAAATCTAATTTACATCATTAGATTGGATGACATACAACAGTAACTAACTCAGTTATTGAGACAAAACAAAAGTTTATTGAATACTTAATGTAAACACTCAGGACATTAAAGTAAGAGTAAAAACAATCACGTGTTTTATAAAAGGAACTGAAACAAAATGGGGCTCAGAGGTCTCAATGGGCCTTCAGACCGTACACAGAAACAACTCCCTGCCCATGCTCACCAACTGTAGCATTTATTTTATTTTCTCCAGACCTTCAGTGAAGATTATCCAGTGTGCATTATTAGAGCTTGCACTTAGGATCAGTGATAAAAGCCAAGTAGTTATTAGGTTATTTGGCTCATCTGACCCCTTGCTGTGGACAGGAAGACTGGATCTCTTTTCAGAGGAAGGAAAGGCAACTTTTGCCCACCTCATGGCTGTGCACACACGCACCTCTGGGCAAGCCTAGAATCTATACTAACAATGCTTCAAGATAAATGCACATTCACCCAAGTATCCCAAATACCAGGATGCAGTTTTAAACTTGAAGTCTTTTTAGAAGAGCAAAAGCTACAACTTACAGAAAACAATCACTTAGAATTTAACTTTTAAAAGCAAAGTCCCTTTTCCCTGTAAATTTGTGAATTGAAATACATTTGAACTTTTCCTTACTTTGTCCTTTTTGATAGGGTAAAAGAAAAAATTTTAAATTTGAGTGTACACGGTATTAAGTGTAATTGGTATGTAAACAAATGTGCAATATTCCCACTAAATATTAGTCTTATAGGCTAGTTTTATGCTTGTGAAGTTATTGAGCTATAACTTGGAATATGGCTTGGGATGCACGTATATAGAAGCACTTTGGTCAGTAGTTTATTTATTACAGCCCCACCCTTCCCCATTTGACCTCTGTTCCACTGAACAGCCGGGCAGGCCTTTATTCCCATCCTTCTCCAGGCTGGGGCGGGGTGCAGTCTCATTTTGTCACCTCTCAAGCAGTCATCTCACATACATTTTTTTCTGAAGGAAATTCTTCCTCACGATGCTTATTGAACCTAGGAGGGATCTCTGTGACATTTTCTGCCTCTGGTCTTACTTGTTCTAGAACCCCAGGTTTGAGGATGTCTCGCCTACTCTGGACTCCTGACTTGTTCATCCATCTGGCCCATTGCAGCCTCCACTCCCAAGGTCTCCTCTTCTCAAGTCGAGTGGACATGACGCTGGGGTCCACGGCTCCTTAGTTTCTAAGAACAATCTTTTGCTCTTTTGCTTGGTTGTGTTCTGCTCTTGTTTTCTCTGCTAGCGCTGGTGATACAGGGTTGGTAGGAGGTGAGTGAGCCCACAGCAGCTTTAGGGAATCTCTGGTCTGGTTCACTGACTCTCTTCTTGGTGTCAAAAACAATGCATTTATGTTGATTTGGAGGTGTTCATGTCACAGTGCTTTCCTCACTAGGGTCAGAAGGTGTGGTCCTGGTGTTAGTTCTTCTTCATCTTGTCCCTCCCTTTCTTCCGTTTGCTCTTCAGCCAGCCGAAGACTTGGTGGAAAACGTGGCAGCTGAAGCCCTCGTTAACCCCATTCTCCACATGCTCCTGCAGGACCGCCAGGCTGGGGAAGACCCGGCAGCAGGCCATGCACCGATAGCCACTGTTCATGGCCACCAGCCACTCGGGGGTCCTCGCCCTGGACCTCTCCTCTGCAGTCGCGGGCTGGGCGAGGCTCTCGGCCTCTCCCAGCTTCTCCTGGCCTTCGTCATCCGAGTTGAACTCACTGTCGTGTAGGAGCTCGTGGGTAAGCACATCGGAGTGGTTGACTTCTGCTCGGATCTTCTCAGGGAATGCAATGGACTCAATTCTCATTTTCTTTTTGGGGGGTTCCAGTCCGCCTTTTGTATCCTCTAAAACAGCCACTCCCCTTTTCAGCTGGACATGCATGTAGTAAACCTTCATGATTCTTTCGTTTCTCATGAGAGCTGAAGACGTAGAAGGCCTGTTATCCCCAGGAAAGTCATTGCGCAGAATTGGGGAGCATGTTTCTAGGTCCTCCACCTTTTGGGTGATGGGCAGCTCAGGTTTAAGATGTGGAACATCTTGACATAATTTGTGGACTTCTAGGCGAGAAAGTGTCAAATATAAGAAGATAAGACAGCTACGAAGAGATCACTGCGTGATCTACACACTGCATGTGTAGAATGGGATTGCACATTCCTGATTTCCCAGAATTATATGTGTGGTACAGGTTACATGGTAAATGAATCCATGGTATGACTCATGTAATTATATATCTACATATATATATACATACATACATATATATATATATATACTATATACGTGTATATAGTATATATATGTGTATACATATGTGTCTTGCTCATGTCTGGGGAATGTTTCTGGTGCTGAAAGTGAAATGAGTGTGTGTGTGTGTGTGTGTGTATGTGTGTGTGTGTTATGATAGTCCATTTGGGTAGCCAATGCATTGTTTCCTGTTCTTTGTTAAACCCTGTGACAGTAAGACTGAATAGTCAAAAGGCATGTGGAAATAGCAGATGAGGTCACATGTTTTCTCTTACATTCATGAGTTTCCTGGAGTTTGTGTTAGCATAAGGCAGATGAAACAGGCTCTCTGTGAGGGAATGTGGATTGTGAATGGGAATAATGAGCGCAGCGGTGAACTTGAGAATGGCTGTATACAGAAGTACGGGGGTAAGGGTGTAGCTCTGCAATGTCAGGAGAGTGGGAAAGACAGATGGAGAGAGGATGCGCAAAATTGCCTCACCCTCCTTATGGGCAAGGGCAAGCTTGCTTGGAGAGGAGACACAGGAGAAATATTCAGAGGTAGAGAAGTCATCTCCAGGTGCTGGACTCCATGCCTGGACCGCGGCACGAGTCTGGGGGACACCCTTTTGAAGCTTCCGGCATTCTGGAGGAGGAAACACGAAAGCCTTGAGATGCTGTGATCCAGGGTCTGTGCCATTCAAACACAGACTTTCTGAGCAGCTGTTTTGTTTGAGGCCTTGTTACCACCTACAGGACTTCCACTCACACCAACTTAAGTAACTTCAAAAAGTAAAAAAGAAAAATAGTTATTATACTCCAGGACTTGGTGGAACATGCTGATAATCCAAGATACTCAGGAGTCAGACACAGGAGGGTCATGAATTCAGTATCAGCCCAGGCAAAGTGTAATCTTATCTCAAAACCTAAATAAAAACAAAGGCTTGGAATTAAGTGGCAAAAGGTGAAGTTCTAGGTTCAGCCCCAAGTGACATAAAACAAAGTACACAAACAAGGCATCATTAAAGTTCTATGTATGGTGCATGTCCGTGGGATCAGTCCTCTTACATGTGACGTTACTTAGCCACTAAAGGTTTGATACTGTTATTAGCTCATGTTCCTCATGAGAGATTCTGCAAATGAGGGATAGGAGCTGCAGGTTTTATGAAGAATTGTGTGTCAATTAAAAATAGGACAGGGCTGGGAAGGTGGCTCAGTGGTAGAGCGCTTGCCTCGCATGCCTGAGGCCCTGGGTTTGATTCCTCAGCTCCACATAAGAAAAAAAAAAAACGGAAGTGGTGCTGTGGCTCAAATGGTAGGGTGCTCGCCTTGAGCTGAAGAGCTGAGGGACAGCGCCCAGGCCCAGAGTTCAGGCCCCACGACTGACAAAAAAAAAAAATCGGACATAACACTTTTTGAAATATTCTTAAAGAGAGAGTAGAGTACCAAACAAGCTGTTTTTTCTGGAGCGAAAGCAGCACAGCCCCTAAACGACAAGGGCAGTAGCGAGAGAAATTCACTCCTTTGGAATTTCTCGTTTTCCGCTTCTGATCTTAATAAAAACATAGGGAGGAATATTTTGAGTTTGTTTTTTTTTTGGGGGGGGGGGGTCTGGTTGTGGGGCCTGAACTCTGGGCCTGGGCGCTGTCCCTCAGCTCTTCAGCTCAAGGCTAGCGCTCTACCACTTGAGCCACAGCGCCACTTCCGGCTTTTTTCTTTTTTGCTTATGTGGTGCTGAGGAATCGAACCCAGGGCCTCAGGCATGCAAGGCAAGCGCTCTACCACTGAGCCACCTTCCCAGCCCTATTTTGAGTTTCTTTCTGGACAGGGTCACTTCTTACCATGGATGGGGAGATGTGAACATCTTTAGAAGCTGCCTAGATCTTAGCTTTCCCTTCTGTGCCCAGTTGGATGCCCCTGAGTACCTTTACTGAAGAGCTTGTCTTCATGCGAGACGCAGGAGTAGTAGACAGAGGGCGGGGCAGCGGCACCGCCAGCTTTCTTGCATGGACTTAGGCCTGCTGCCTTCCGTTTATACTGCTGAGCCTCTCTGTGTAAGTTCAGATTCCCTAAGAAGTCAGAAATGATACTTATTTCCTATCTATGTATATTTTCTACTATATGACAAGTCCATCCAACGTTCCTGGCCTCCATCCTCATCAACAACCATCAGCTACCTACTGCGGAAAATGACAAATGTAGAATAATACTTATTGTTTCAGTTCATGTTATGGCTGACTACATTGGCACAATGTGTCATTTATAAATGGAGTAGAGATGTTATCTCCTTTTGGCCTGAGAATATTATTTATCTCTATCCCTTCCTTCCCCCCTTCCTCCCTCCCTCCTTCCCTCCCTCTCTCCCTTTCTCCCTCTCTCCTTCCCTTTCTTCCTTCCTTCCTTCCTTATCTACCTACCTATCTATCTATCTGAATATCTAGATCTATATATCAGGCTCCCTGGTAGTTAACTGAGCACGATTCCGTTTTTTGAAATAGAAAATGAATTTTAAAAATATGTACCACTTCATATATATACACAATGGAATTCTATGCCTCCATCAGAAAGAATGACATTTCCCCATTTGTTAGGAAATGGGAAGGCTTGGAAAAAATTATATTAAGTGAAGTAAGCCAGGCCCAAAGAAACATAGGTCCCATGGTTTCCCTTATTTGCAATATCTAGTATAGGTATGAGTCAAGCGGAAAAAGTCAGATAATGTGATGTTAGGAAAACGAACCCTCAAATATGTATTTTAATGTTTTTGTTTCTTTCATGCATGTGTTTCTAACGCATTTATAAGATTATTTCTTTGTTGCTTTGTATGTCCCTCCCCCACAGTGTAACCCCTGCTTTCACTATATTTGATGTCAGTATAACATGTGGAGGAGATGGGGAAAAACAAGTCGTTTAAGGATTCAGGTGGACCTGTTGCAACAATGAGAAGTACAAAATGTCATGTCAAAACCAGCTTTACAATGTCAGTGTGGGGGGGGGGAGGGGGGTATGATTGGGTGGGGGGGAGGGGGGAGGCTGGGAAGGGATGTGAAGGGTAAACAAAGGAGGAGGCTGCAATGCTTGGTAAGAAATGTATGCATTATCCTGCCCATGTAATTGTAACCCCTCTGTACAGTATGTTCTCAAATAAAATAAAATTAAATTAAAAAAAAAATATGTACCACTTCAAAACATGGCTTCCTAAACTTGTGTATTTCTCCATCTTCTTTCTTCCTCAGCTGCTTGGGATCCTGATAACTCAGGATCTCTCTGAAAGCTATGTATCAGCGAGGATGGGCTCATTCTGCCCTAGCCCGTGAATTAACTCAAGGAGGATACTTGTCTATGGACCTGTCATATATTCTGACTTGTTACTAAAAGCACCAGTAGAGTCAGCTGTTTAGCCTGCTCTACTTCTGAGCCTAATGTGTTTTGGAGAGGCGTAGAATCTGGAAGATAGTAAGTGGACAATTTATTGTCAACATATACCCTAGCCTCATCCACGTATGGGTTTTATATATGAATAGCAATGAGTGTATGCTTTGAATGTCCCATCATCTACCCTGAATAACGTCTTTAGGTGAATTTGAAAACAACTCCCTCTACAAGCTCTAAACTTCCTTGGGCCTGTGTAATTATCCTCAGAAACATATTTCTATTTGGAATGTTGGGGTTGGGTCTGACCTGACCCCCTCCTAATCACTGATAGGAATTGTTCATTGATTTCCATTGTGACTACATTAGCTAGTTTCCTGTTTTTAATCTTCTCAATGCAGCCATCATGATTAAGTCGTCATTTTTTTATTTTGTTTCATTTTATATGTATATTTGCTTTGTTTTTCTTCTTGCATGTTACACAGAAACCCCATATTTACATCTTTCTAGTCTTTAGCTTTTCTCCTTTATGACTACTTTTTCTTTTTCTTTCAGTGTTTCCCTAACTTCTATGAACCATGCTTCCTTCTTTAAAATGAAAAATTACTATTAGAAAACATATAACAATTTGTTTTTTCGATGCCCGTGGGAAGTCAAATGAAAGGAAAGTTGTTTTCAAAAGGAAAAATAAACTAACTGCTAGTAATAGAGCAGTCTAGCATAACTTGGTGTAGGTAGCCTGGACCCTAAGTCAAATGGGCAAAACCTAGGCCAGCTGATCTTTGCTTCACTCTGAGACTATCTTGACCCACACGCGTCTCTCTCCACCCTTAAGTCACTTCTGTCCTCTACAATGATATGGAAGTCTCCTCTCTTTGTTGGAAAGGAGACACAGAGCACAAGCTGACACATACCTCTTGACTTCTTTGCACCTTCAGGGCAGAATGTCCTTTCCAGATGTTTCCTTTTCTGTTTTTGCTTCATGGTTCAACTCTTTGGAAAGTAATTTTCTCTGAGGCTTCTGAGAGTTAGTTAATAATGACAATGAATGAAATTCGTGCAATCACAGGCAACAAATCACAAGAGAAGAGGTTACGTCTTCTCCACGTTGCTGTCCTGACCACTGGTCACTACAAAATTGAAGTTGCTCTGATCCTAGCTATCACCAAGGCCACCGCAGTGTATTGTGACCTGTTGGTGACGTCATCCGAGCCCAGGAAGTACTTACCACACTACAGGACTGCTCGAGCACACCGCCTGAGGGGAAAGGCCACGTACTGTGAGGGTAGTGGCTACCTCTCATCCATGTGGATGGACTTGATGACATGAAGTGACAGAAGAAATCTTCACCCATGAAATTCTTTCGTTGACTTGAAACTTTATGTCTAATACTCGATAACAAAACTAGTGGTGGATATGAAATCCCCAGAGAAAGGGAAACCTTATCCAACACTAAGTTCTCTAGGGATTTAAAGATATTATTCTGGTCTAGGATGTAAACGCAACCCATCATGCCTGGAATCTGTTCTGTGCAATGAGGCTGATCAAGCCTCTGCTTATGGTCAGGTGTGCATCTTGTGAAACTCAGCTCTACTGCTACTGTTTGTTTTTTGTAATTTCTGAAAGTTATGTGCTAACTGCAGTGGCTTATGATCGCTGCAGTGGCTTATGATCGCTACATGGCCATCAGCCATCGACTCCTGTACAACACCACCATGTCCCCTAAAGTGTGCTCCTACCTTATCCTTGGTTCATACTTGATGGCGTTTTCTGGTGCAGTGGCCCACACTGGATGCATGCTGAGACTGACCTTCTGTGATGCAAACGCCACCAACCACTACTTCTGTGACATCCTCCCTTTGCCCCGGCTCTCCTGCACCAGTGCCTTTGTCAGTGAGGTAGAGATTTTCATTGTAGGGGCAAAGACATCATTGTACACAGTCTTGTTATCTTTATCTCTTAAGCTTTCATTCTTTCCAGCATCCTCAAAATAAAGTCCACTGAGGGCAGGTCCAAAGCCGTCAGCACCTGCAGCTCCCACATCATTGCTGTATCTCTGTTCTTTGGTCAGGTGCCTTTATGTATCTCAGACCCTCCTCAGCTGGGTCCATGGATGAATCAAAAAGCTGTGTTTTGTACCACTGTAACACCCATGATAAACCCCTTAATCTACAGCTTGAGGAAAAAAGATGTTAAAGTTGCCCTGAGAAAATCCCTTTGTAGGAGACCATGTTAACTGGGAACTAAAATTCTGTGAAAGCACAGGCAGATCCTATGTGCTATATATTTATAGTGACCACTTCCTTGTATTGCAGCAGGCTTTGTATTGCATAGGCTTTCTTCTGTTGTACCTTTGTATTGCAGCTAGCTTTCTTTTTCCCTTATCTTTGGCAAAATTCTTGCTTTCCACATTTTCTGTATTTTAAAATAGCATTCATTCAGTAATTTGTTTCCTTTTGTTTTTATTGTCCATGTGGTCCTCATCTTAGTAAATACTGAATGTGTCTGCCAATGACTACATGAAAGTAACTTGACAGTGCTCCTTGGCAAGGTTCTTATCTAGCACTTGCAATGAATCAGGAGTCAGATAGTGGATGCTTTCTTTCCATTGTCTACTGGGCAAGAAAGTCTCACTTTTAAACACCAGTGTTTAACAGTGTAGATATTTCCATATAGAGAATTAAATACATCCCATCTTGTAGTTTAAATTCTGTACATCAACTATTCTTGTCAGAAGTGTTAGATTTCTCTTGCACAGTCAATCATATACTAGGTTGTCAATCTTATATTTAATGCATGAATAGGCTTCTGGAGCTCACAGAGGTGAATAATTACCTAAGGTTACATGGTACCTAACATAAAAAGGTTACATGGTACCTAACATAAAAAGGTTACAACAGTCTTGTCAGTCTCCGGATTTCAGGTTTGCCAGTCTCTCATTGTACTTTCTATTTTTTTCATGAAACAAACAGTATATGTTACTCTTCTACTTGAAACGTGACCATGTTTTGTTCTGAGCTTATCGGGTAATTTTTGTGGTATTCATCTTTCATTCAGGAAAATAATGAAGGACTCATTTGTTGGGAAAGAGGAAGTCTGTTAGACCAGTGTAGTTGGAGGATGATTAGCTGAAGTTAAAAGATTACTTTTTTTGCATAAAAATATTTGAATCATTTTGAGGACTTTAAAATTAGAAAAAATAGAGGCTTAGAAAGAAATGAAACTCAGACAGGAATCAAGAGCTGAAGTCACTGTGTAAGTGTGAGCGTGTGCAGGGGTGGTATGTGTGTATAGTATAGAACAGGAATTTAATATAAAGGAGAATGTAGAAAGGGCTCAATAAAGGTTAGGGGTTGAGTACATAAAAGATATAGAAGTCAAGCCCTCTGCTCTTTTTTTGTTGGCCCTGGGGCTTGAACTCAAGGCCTGGGTGCGGTCCTTGAGCTTTTGTGCTGAAGGTTATTACTACCACTTTGAGCCAGAGCTCCACTTAGGAGGTTTTATTGGTTGTTTATTGAAGATAAGAGTCTCATGGATTTTTGTGTGTCTTGGCTAAGAACCATGATCCTCAGATCTCAGGCTCCTGAGTATCTAGGATGAGGGGTTAGCCACCAGTGCCCCCTTTGAAGCTGTCACTAAATATATTTAGTGACAATGAGGCTTCATCATCCTTCATCCAGAGTGCACTGCTCATGGTCATTCCAAAGCTAACTGTGAGAGAAAATTTGTTAAATAAATCCCGAATACAATCTCGAAACTTTTTCTCCTATCTTGAACTAGACGTAATTTTCTGTCACAAACCAAAAAGTCCAAGTTTTCTCACAGTGTAGACATCCTTTCCTGGCATACTGCCTGAGGAAGCCAGGGGCTTCTAGGTTAATTCTCATTTTTAATAACTTCAGTGGAATAATATTTCCTCTCATAGTTTCTTTACTTCCATTCAGATAGCCCAAACAAAGCAAAACCAAGCAATACCACCAACAATAAAACAAAAACAAGGGAATCCAATGGAATCAAACCAACTGAATAGATAAAAATTAGTTTAAAATTCCAAATAAATTTACTGATTTTAAGCATATAAACTTTACAAAGTACATTAAAATGTTTAAGCTTAATTTAAAAATAAAAGTAGAAGATTTAATGTTGAAATATTTTTATTATCTTTAAATAGTTGTACAAAGGAGATTTTTTGTCAGTCTGGGACTTGAACTCAGGACTTAGGCATTCTCCCTGAGTTTTCTTGCTCATGGCTAGTACTCTATCACAGCTCCAATCTGGCTTTTTAAAGTGGTTCACTGGAGATAAGAGTCTCATGGGTTAGCTTTAAATCTTTTTTTTTTTTAAATTGTGAAAATACCATACAGAGGGGTTACAATTACATGGGCAAGATAATGAGTACATTTCTTATCAAACATTGTTGCCTCCTCCTTTGTTTCCCCTTCCCATCCCTTCCCATCCTCCTCTACCCCCTCACCCTCCCTCCACACCACCAAAGTTGTAAAGTTTTTCAACATAACATCTTGTACATCTCATAGTTGCAATGGGTCCACCTGTATCCCTATTTAAACAATTTGTTTTTTCCCTTCCCCTCCACAAATTATACCAACATCAAATACAGTGAAAGCAGGGATTATACCATGGGGGAGGGACATACAAAGCAACAAAGAAATCATCTTATAAATATGTTAGAAACAATTGCATGAAAGAAAAACATTTGAATACTTATTTTGGGCCTCATTTCCCTAACACCAACTTATCTGACCTTTTCTGCTTGACTCAGACATATACTAGTTATTGCAAATAAGGGAAACCATGGGACCTATGTTTCTTTGGGCCTGGCTTACTTCATTTAATAGAATTTTTTCCAAGTCTTTCCATTTCCTAACAAATGAAGCAATGCCATTCTTTCTGATGGAGGCATAGAATTCCATTGTGTATATATACCACATTTTCTTGATCCATTCATCTACTGAGGGGCATCTGGGTTGGTTCCATATCTTAGCTATTGATCCATTCATCTACTGAGGGGCATCTGGGTTGGTTCCATATCTTAGCTATGGTAAATAATGCTGCAGTAAATATAGTTGTGCTGGTAGATTTAGTGTGGTCTTGTTTGTGATGATTTGGGTAAATGCCCAAAAGTGGGATTGCTGGGTCATAGGGGAGCTCTATGTGGAGTCTTTTAAGGAACCTCCATACTGCTTTCCAAAGTGGTTGAACAAGTTTACACTCCCACCAACAATGCAGTAAGGTTCCCTTCTGTCCACATCCCCTCCAGCACCTGTTGTTATTAGAGTTCTTGATTTTAGCCATTCTAACTGGGGTGAGGTGGTATCTCAATGTTGTTTTGATTTGCATTTCTTTTATGGCTAGGGAGGTTGAGCATTTCTTCATGTGTCTATTGGCCATCCTTCTTTCTTCTTCAGAGAAGTTTCTCTTTAAGTCATTAGCCCACTTATTTATTAGGCAGTTGTTTCTTTGAGGATTTGTTGTTGGGGGATTTAATTTTTTGAGTTCCAGGTATATTTTAGATATGAGACCCTTGTCCATTGAATGGCTAGTGAAGATCTTCTCCCAATCCATGGCCTTTCTATTGATCTTGCTAGCTATGTCCTTTGCCATGAAGAAGCTCTGAAATTTTATGCAATCCCATTTGTCCAACCTTTCTTTGATTTGTTGTGTTTCTGGGTCTCTATTAAGAAAATTTGGGCCTGTGTCAAGGAGACCTAGGGTTTCTCCTATTCCATCCTGTAATGTTTTCAGTGTCTTCTTTGACTCCAAGGTCTTTGATCCTAGCTTTAAATCTTGATCATCATACCTCAGCCTCCTGAGTAGCTAGGATTAGAAGCGTGAGTCACCAGTGCCCAGACAAGTACTTATTTTTAAGACATTTTTTAATGAAAATGAAGCATTATATATTTAATTCAGGATTCTTGTGTCTGTCTTTACTGACCACCACTGATACCGTATTAGATCATACACTA